TTATGCACGGTGACACTTTGGCAATATTTTGGCTTTCCTTCATTGTTAGGCTTTGCATGACTGCCCCGAGCTGGGGGCTCCCCTGCACCAAGCTTGTCCTTTACCCACTTTACATTTCACTTCAGCATCCATAGAGATGCTGAGATGCTGCGAGAGAAACTCTGCAGATTTCAAGCAGCTTGTCTCATCAGCACGCATAAAGGAAGGCTGCAGAAGATGTTTACCTTCTGTCCACACCACAAATGAGTAGGACGTAAATTGGCATGAAACAGCTCTGAGCCTTCAAGTGAAAAGGCCGGCCTTCCTGACCAACAGGCCCCCTCCGCCTGCCCACGGCACAGGAACCAGCCCAGGAGCACCACTGACAAGTTCTACCTGAGAAATCTGGTCCCTGGACAACCAAAGCCAACCAGCGTTCACTCCCTGCGTGTCCCTGGGGCAGACAACAACCAGCAAGCAATCCTGTGAGCTGTCCCACCAACCAACCACTGGCACCTACACTGGGCAGCAGAGGCTGCTGGCAGCGATGTGTTCCCTTTCTCCAAGCTCGGGACCCAGCTTTGCGCCAGAGAGACGCTTCAGGAGATGAGAGCACTGCTGTGTGCCTACTCCCAGCAAGGAGCCCAAGGAAGAAGCTTTATCATGGCTCTTCAGGGATGGCCGCTCCCCTGCGAGCAGACACAGTGGTCCCTGCCCAGCCATTTCCCCCCCAGCTCCCTCATCCTTCCTGACCACCCGCCCCAGAGCAGATGGCAGGCCAGGTAACGCTCAGATCATCTGGGCTGTCTGCAGGTCACTGAGAAGCGATCGCCTTTGGGATGCACCTTTGTGGCCAAGCAGCACATGGCACTCTCTAGTTTTCATTTGCAAACCAGGCGCAAAGCCTCCATTCATCTTACTGCCAGGTGAAAGTGTGGTAAGTTATCCTTTGCACCCAGACATGGCTTGCCTTTGTCATGTATCGCACAGACAGGTCCTGCTGTCCCCTCCAGGCACAGCACTAGAGCTTACATGTAACAGCTGTTCAGCTGTGAGTGTGAGCATGGACTGGTGCAGCCAGGCCAGGAGGCTGAGCACTGCCAAAAGCTGAGCTGCAGCACAGACCCCAGCAGAGATGAGTGCAATGGTCCGTCCTGGAAGGGCTGGACGATTCTTAGGTAGCCTGAGCCCAGTGGTGTGGAGACTGAACATGTGGGCAGTGCCACATTTCAGAAGCAGACTGCTGACCGAACGCAGCAGGTACAGCACAGAACCGGCCAATTTCTCCTCCAATCCATTATGGCTGGAAAGACCTGTTGTGTTTTCTATCATCATTGTGTCCTGCTCAGCAGTAGGCTCAGTGAGAGGCCAGGAGTGTGCCCTGCAAACTGATGGAAGTTTAAGGCATTGAATGCGATGAGCTGAAACTAGATAAAATACCCTCCATGCCGTTAAACCAGGGATTTAGCTGACAAGTGCAGTGTGCTGCTGAGGGTGAGCACCTGCTCAAGGGCTGCTCCACTTCAAACCTAAGCTGTGAGGCATAATAGCAGTATTGTCCCCAGAGTAGTTACAAACAAAATTAAGTCATTATTTAATGACTTAAACCATGGGAGAATGTCAATTGGGCATTACTGCACTGATGACTGGAGGCGATGCAAAACTACAGATGTGGTGCTTTAGCCCCAGAGGACAAAAGCTGTGGGACAGGAGTGGCAGGGGAACCGTGTGCCTCCCCCAGGGCCTTGGGGGTGCCCACAGACAGCCCAGCTGCACCCAGTGTGCCCCTGGCCACCTCAGTCCCCAGATTTCACTTATTCTGGTCCACCCAAGCACTCCTTTCTTTATTTATGAGCATCGATTGTCTTCCAGCTAACACACTCAAGTATACACTGCAAAACTCACACAGGCTTAGGAACAGAGGTGTTCCACACAGCATCTGCTATGTGCTGCTGGCGGGGCAGGCTGAGCCTGCACACTTCTGGCACACATGGACAAGCGTGTGGGCTGGTGAAGTGCCGACTAGTGAGGCTTGACTGCTATCTTAATTTACATCCCTACAGTTCGTGTTAACTCCAGACAGAATTTCAGATACATTAGCAGCTTAGTTTGATTCAGATACTTACATTGGTTATTTGCCATTTCTGCTTGACAAGTAATTCCTGGCTTCCCGAGCTAGTCCCCCACAGCAAGGCCTGCAGCCCTGGCAGGGAAAAGGAAACATCAGTGGGCTGCTCAGCACTGCCCAGCTCCCTGCCGCTCATTTGTTACCAGGTGGCAGCCAGAGGAAGGGCAGCTTGTGTGCAATCGATGACTGCGGTGATACAAAAAGGAGCAACCAGATCCAGATTCAACTCAGGAAAATCACGACTTCTTCCTGAATACTGAAAAAAACTCAAACTGAATCAAGCCCCACTGTGGTCAGTGCAGAAAGCTGCTGAAGAAACCCTTCTGTACTCAATCCCAGGTAGTTAAATCTGGACAGTCAAGCAGAAACCTCCCATTCCTTCCGCTCCACTACCCTGTCTAGCTGATGACATCTCCACAGAGTGCTTTCAAAGGTCGCTGTTATTGCTACGTGCATTTGTGTTAATGAACGAGGAATCCTGTTGATACAGAACAGCTGCCCTTCTCCTGTTGTTAGCGTGACACTTGAATACACCTAATCATTGTTCACAACAGCAAGCAACTCCAACATCCAGCCTACAGTGCATTACAACAGATTAATTCCTGTAATGACTCCAAAGAACAAGAAGAATGCCAGGCCTTGACCTGGGTGGGCTCCACAGGATTAACTCAGATCGAGATTAAGGCCTTACAGTGATGATAAAGCCTGACCCGCCAGCCCCGGTGTCACATACTGTATAGCCGTGTGACAAACCCCATGTGTAATTCCCATTGAGCTGACATCCAACACACGTACCTCGGTCCAAGCCCCCACTCACTCGAGGGTGGGTTTGTCTTCGTGCCCCCCTCTGACCTCAATTTACAGAGAGGTCACAGTGATGCAGCCCACAGCCTGTGCCAATAAAATAAATCACATTGGATGGCAGCTGCTCCTCCCCAGCACCTCTCATTGGCTCTGTGAAACGTTTGCTGGACCAAGTTAAGAACAGAAAAGACTCCGGGATCCCTTCTATTCTCTGCTCAACACATTTATTTGCCCTTTTCCATTATTGGGAGGTTTTTAAAAGTCTTTTTTTTGGTATCCTCAAGAAAAACCTCCAAATTGTTTACATACCGATGTTTAGTGTGTGGCTTAGAATACAAAGAGTGAGCTGATCTCACTTTGTCTCAGCGGGCAGCTAGTTTTCCTTGTGGTGCTACAAAAGGAAGAAGCAGTTAGCAGTTTCGAGGACACCTCACATTTCCTAAAAAGATTTTGCTTCTAAATGAAAGAAACTGTTTAACAGGTTAGATCGGGATTAAGATTTGCAAACTCCTGGGATCAGGTTTAGCCTCCCCTTATTTATCTTCTCCCCTAGAATTCCTGCCTTTAAACAAAACTAATCTGGCAGAAAAACACACACACGCACACACTTGGCCCCTCGACATTTGCGCCTATGGCAAAATTATTTGCAATTTCCCCTTACTGCATAATTGTCTCATTAGCACTGCAGAAAGAAGGTGATGACTTTTCCCTCCCTGCCATCGACCTAATCCAGGAGCAATCCTGCCTGGTGCCACAGGAGCCAAACCTTCTTTGTAACATGGGAGGGGACTCGGGCCCCTGAGGTGGCACTGGGAACCTGCCTGCCGCTGCAGTGCCGGCATTCACTCACAGCCCGTCAGTGAGATGAAGCCAGTGAGTCAGGCTGGTTTTTGTTTGTTTGTTTTTTTTTTTCTTTGCTAAGCATAAATATTCATATTCAAATTGCTTTCGGATATATTTAAATCAACAAAAGTTCTGGATGACGGTCAATAGGGCAAGAAACAGCGCCAACTTCTCAAACGCACAGATGTAGTATATACATTAACCACAAAACCTGGCTAGAACACAGCAGTATTTACTTTATGCTATTCAGAAACGTGGCTTGGCGACTAAAATTAATAGAACTTGTCTGGAGGACAGCATAAGCTTTCTAAGAGCTCTTTCAGCTTTAAATTATGCCCCAGTTTTCCCTCTTTTTCCATAGTGCCAATGTATGCAGCAGCACGCTTGCCCCTCTCACAGAGTCAGTGAAGGCAGCGTTCTTCCCAGGGCTTGCCATGCAGGGGCGGGCAGCCTGCGGATGGATCTGCTCTAGAGAAGGGCCCGCTCTGGCCGCACAAACAAGCAGCAGGTCTTCCCTCCACAACGAGCAGCTCTGTGTGCACATGCACTCACATGCATGTTAACCTTTCCTAACTTCCCCCAGCCCTCCCCTCGCACCTGGCCGGAGGAACGCCTCTGTAGGATCACAGCACAAGGTGCACACACTCGTCTGTCTACGGATGTGAAAAGCTTCTACCTCTCTGTTCCTACTGGTTCATTCTATTGTTAAAATGGGAATGGGATAATGGAGGAAAATCCCAGGCTAAATCTGATGTGCACATTGAAATATAACCTGCAGAGTTACCTATGTGAGTTCCTTTTTGTGAGAATGCCATGCGCTCCACGCAGCTGCCTGGCAAGCTCTCCAACTCCCACAGCCTGGCTGTGCAAGTAAGCTATTGCTCTGTTTTCAGAAAGCTAGGATAGAGCCCTAATAAATCCTGTAAGAGGGCAAGAAGTACTCTATATAATTCATTGCTATTGTGATACCCTGTTATAAGAAGGCAAATAAGCATTTTTAGCTACAGATTGTGTTTCCACTGCAATCAAAATTTTTATGCCAAATTGTCTGTTAAATATTTCAGTCAAATCTAGTAATCAGTGAATGCTGGAGGGAATAAAGTGTACACGCAGCCGTGTGCTCCTGGTCTGTATGTAACAAAACAGGAAATCTCAGCACCCTGTTCCAATTAAGCAAAGGCTGATTTCTCATGGAACATAAATTTTCAGCTTTTCTCCCAGAACAACCTTATGCTGATGCTTTAAACAGTGGTAAAACATTGTTTTTAATTTCACACCTCACATAGCACAGTCAAATGCTTCATAACAACATAAACAAAACTTTAGGCAGAGCTTTGCGACTGAAGTCGAACAATGATTTCCCCCCACAATACGTACTACTCGAGGTTTGCAGGGAGAATACAGAAACGTGTTGGCTAAGGCCACAGAAATGAGTTCTCTGGTGTTTTGGCTGCTGCTGCCAACCCTAGTCAAGAATGTGTTAAGAGTGGATGCATTGATCCAAATCCCATTATTCCCACCACCCATCAAGCAAAGAACCATTTATTCTATTTCTGTTCTCCTTTTGGTTGTGTCGTAGGATCGAACAACTTGTGACTGGGAAACAACGCCGTGTTCTTCTTGAGAAAACGCATAGCCATCTGAAAAAGCAAAGGAAGAAGAAAAATGACTGGCGTTCAGCTCAAAACCCAAACAGTTTTAGGCATAGCTGAAATTACAGTACAGACAGGAATGATTCTCATTTCTATGCTGCACTTCTGTCATCTATAGCTGTGCCCACATGGATGCCTGCCAGCTCTGTCTTACTGCTCTCTCAAAGGCCACATTAGTGTACATGGTCAACGTTTCCCTCTGAGCTGACCCAGCTAACAAACTTTGCATAAATTTTGGACACCAGCTTGACTCCCACAGTAGCAGAGCTTCTTTATAGACTGAACAGGCAGATGGAGATTTGCATTTTTGGTTGACGCTATCGTCTGCTTGGTATCTGTGGTCTGCCTGGAGGAACACAGAAATGTCTACACCACAGCTGGATCTGAGTCACATCTTCCTAAGTCCATTCACGAATTCTTCTATTTTTTTAACAAGTTCCCAGGTGTCACCTGACAAATTGCACTGAGCAATTGGCTAGTCACCCAAATCTTGAAGAAAAGAAACTTCAACTTATTATGGAGGTTTCTGTTCTGCACAAGTTAATTCTGTGAGCTAACATAATCCTTTAGTCTCCCTAGACTCCCTCTCCTTCTCAGATGAGAAGAACTACACGTCTGGTTTCTTTTAAAGCACTGTGGACAACACAAGTGACTTTTCTGACATCATCTGCAAAACACCACGACTGATAAAACCATCACAACAACTAATGGACCAAGACAGTAAAACTCAAAACAATGTTAAAATCAGACATGAATTTACAGAAAATTCTGAACAGAGCACAGCACAATATTCTCTGTGACACAGAGAAAGGATATTTCACTGTGAGAGAATGAGTAGTCAGAATGGAAAAGATTTGCATTGCCTCAAAATACAGAGAAAATGTCACAGGCTACACAGAGCCTGATAAGGCTTTGTAGTAACAAAATAGGCGAGAGTGAGCAGGTGTGAATTCTGCCTAGGAGAACCTAGGAATGATACCACAGTCCTGGAAGTGGGAGCTCACAAACACTGAAATCCTACCTCAGAGCCGCCCCTGGATGAGAGATGCAGCACCAGGTAAGGGAGGACAGATTTGCCAAGTGCTACCCAGAGATGTATTTCAGGAGTCCTCCCTTAACAGGCTCAAGCCGTATTCCCTCTGGATCATGTACCAAGAGAGAAAAGGCTGAAGCAGGATATGAAGGAGACCTTGCTGAGTCTTGTTTAGTTATTTGGGATGGTCTTCTCCTCTCACAGAATGGGGGTCAACATCACCTCTGATGCCTAACAGGGACTTTGCTGGAGATGCGACTTCAGAAGGCAGAACGTACCCTACCTTAGCAGAAGAGCACACTAGCTGAAGATTAACTGACCTGAACCACAAGCACAGCAGGAAACTTTTGTTAGCAGACGGAGGAGGTTCAAGCAGAAATACATCATCCAGAACTAAGAGCAATCACATTTCCCACTTGGAGTGATTGTAACACTGTAAGAACTTCAATTTCATTATGTGACTGATCCTGGAATCCCTATTCATTTTCCCTGAGCATTCCATGCCAATATACATACAGCTACAGGGGTACAGCTTGGGCTTTCCTGTCTCTAGCTGGAGGTTCACAAAGTATATTCATGAAATACAACTCTTTTGGAAAAACTATGTGCATCCTGTATAACTGCAAAGGAAATATTTACAAAACAGGCCTTCATTTAAAAAAAGGTGGATTCACACCTGCATAAATAGCTCTGGTGGGATTATTCCATTTGAAGGATCAGCCTCCTGTTAGCTTTTTTGGCAAAATTCTCGATGGAAAGTCAGTTTGGTCAAAGACTTCAAGGTTAAGTCCTCACAGCCTGGCAGCTTTGCTCCAAAGCTTGTGCACTGAGATGGCTGTGCCATACTGGCTTACCAGTAGGACCAGTAGATTCAGTAGATTCAACTGCTGTAACTACTGTAGAAAACACTGCCTGCTGCACAACTGCGTGCAGCCTGTCAGACTTAGGTATTTTTCCATTACCTGCTTATTTCCAGAGCTACAGAACAGCTAGGCAGAACAACCACTCTGCAAAGCCAAAGCAAAATGCAGTCAAAGACATTTAACACACACCAGCAGAAAACACCTTAGCCTACAAATTTTTGCTGGATTGAGATGAGCACTGGTTAAGAATACCAGTGGCATTCCTATGTCCTCGTGTTCTTAATCCACTCCAAAATATCAGCAATGAGGTTTTTGTGCATTTGTCAGGGGAAAGTACTTGCACCTTGCCCCTATTCAGTGAAAACATTTGGCACTATATTTAAAGCTTTTACCATGGATCTCTATACAACAAGATCATTTCACACTATACTTTTAATTTGTATGATGATTAAGCTTGAGCTTCAAGCTGCTCAGGCAGCTGTCTGTGCCCAATGAGAATGCTGTGAACACTCACGTCCCATTCACATTCTCTGTTTCCACTCTCCAATTCCACTGCTTTCAGACCCCATCCAAAAACAATGACAGTTTCCACCAGCCAGTTACTAGGGAACACTTCGGAAGTTTGAACTTTTCCCCGAACCCTGGCTTTAAAACCACACCTAGGAGCCTGCTGCAGAACAAGGCTCCCATTGTTCCAGCCCCAGGACGGAGCACGCTTCTTAGGGGCTCTGTGGCCACAGCCACTCGCGGCTGCTGCAGAAGGAAGAACCTTTGTCCTCAGAGACCTTCTGTTAACAGAGGGAAGGAGCAGTTCTAAATCTCCATCAGCGTGGCTCATTTGTCAAGCAGAGATTCACATACATCCTCATCAAATCTAAGGTTTCATTGGTACCCGATACTATCAGGCAACCTAATGAATTTTAAAAGAATTCTGGTGTTTTGCTTTTTTTCTTTTAAGGCTTTGATATTCTATTAGTAGATCGGAATCCAGTCTCCAATCAGGTTTCTAATTTAACAGAATCATTTTCTGTTTCCTGTAATGACCATTCTGGTCTGTGCAATGCTAGATGAGAGAAACCCTCTCTGCACACATCCCGAATGTGCAGAGCGCACTGCTCCATCTCAGCAGCTCACTCATGTGCAATAGCTTCCAAGATGGGATCAGAGAGCAGGGTGCTGGACTACATGATCTCCAGAGGTCCCTTCTGACCCTACTACTCTGTGACGGCTTGAAAATCTGCTCACTGAAAGACTGTGCAGTTTTACACTCTTCAGAGATTTATTTTAGAGGCTCATTGCTCCTTGTGCTCATCTGATACACCTGAACTGCTGGGTTTGTTGAACAAACACAGGTTCTGGCTGGGAGCCCCCCAGAAATCTTTCCTTCCTGAGCATTTCACTATTTCATACACACAGCAGTGTGCGGTTCAGCACAGCCTGCAATGTAAGATGCCTTGTGCCATCATATTGTTTGTCTTGGGAGAAAAACACCCAGATTCAAATCCGCTAAAAGGGAAATGAACTGTAAAAAAAAAAAAACAAAAAAACAACCCTTTAAAAAGTGCCGTGTCTACCAAAATCTCTATGACAAAACGAAAATCAATGTTAGAGTATTGCTTGGCCAGCCAAATTCTCTCTCAGGCCAAACACTGTTCTGCACAGTTTTTAAGGAGACTTAATAAGATGTTACAATTCACGCCTCCCAGTTAAACTGTAAATGCAAACTCAGCTTTGACTTCTCAGGGAACCCTCTTCTACTGATCCTGCGAAAGCAAGAGCTGCTTTAAATCTTCTGCATTCTGACTGATGCTTACAGAAATCATTCATTTCCCTGCTGATAAACCACGCCAGTGTTCTCTGAAAGACCCAAGAGGAATTCCTGACAAATGGTCCCATCTCTGTTTTCCCAGATACTAACTTATGGGTATGTGCATGTAAAATACAGAGCCAGATGCCTCGGCATCAATTCTAAACTAATTATTCCCACTGCTTTTCCTTAAGATGATTTTAAAATATAGTCACATTACTCAACAGTCAACAAATACGTTGCTGCCTTGTAAAAAAAAAGAGACATACTATATTTCCAACACATGTAAGATAGTAGGAAACAGAGTTTTAAAAGCTTCTGAAGTAGCTACCCTGTTGTGTTTCAAATCAAAATGCGCCAGGAGTGAAGTGAAAGGAAGAAGGTGTCTGCTAGTGGAAAATAAATGGTAAGATTAGAGTCCTCAGCATGAACACATTATTATTATTTATTATTCGTCAGCCCCCATGCTGTGAAACAAACCTCAGCTGACAGGTGTTTTTTTCCCACTGATTAATAAGGTGCAAACCATACGCCCTGTGTTCACGTTTACTCTATGCAATAACTGTATACCATTGAAGGAAGAGGGATTTTCTTTGCAAACATAGGAAATCTGGGCCAAGCACGTTAATCCTCATTCAAGCACGGCACTCTGCATTTAAAGAGGAGTTCTGCCAGAGCAGTGCTTAATAGGGGGATTCCGCTCTGTTTGTAAGAGCATGCAGAGACAAATGACAACTGAACACTGACAGGGTACTCTGAATTATGAGAGTGAATCTGCACTGGAGAGACTGTATTGGGCATTCCTTAGAGACAGCCAAGGATGAAGGCACCTGAGCAAATGGGACAGCACCACCCTCCTGTCCTGCTGGTGAGGCTCTGGGGACAGGTGGCAGAGGCCAGTCGTGCAAGGAAGACAGGGGACTCAAGAACTGTCTTTGGTGTCCAGAGAGCTTGACTAAAGGAGCTGCTAATTCCACAAAGTCAGAGCTAAAAAAGAAAAGACAGCAACTGCAACAGAGACTTGGCTTGCTTTGCTAATGCTTTAGGAAAGGGGATGGCTCACCAACAGAAAGCTATGAGACACACTGCGCAAGCTTCTCTTTCCCACCCACCACAGGGCTGTGCAGGCTTACGCTCTGTCATCTTTCCCCGCCACTGTAGACCACCAGAAGTAGCCTTGAAACTCCTTGCACTATTTTTCTGGCACTTATCTCCATATGATTGAAACACATTTATATAGGCATCGCTTCCTCACCAAAAAGTTGGAAACATTTTTTGTCAGAAATTCATCTCAAACCAGTACTGCATCTTTACCATTTGTTCTAGGAAGTCTAACCTCATTTTTCTTCCTCACTGGGACCAAAGCAGTTGATTTGCTTAAGCCTTTGTCAGCTCTAACTAAACAAACCATTTTCATGTTTTATATGCAAGTGTCAGATTCTGAGCTGAAGTCACACAAGAGATTTTTGGAAGAAGTGCCCTTTACAGGCTGAGAACTTGGAGCCTGGCAATAACACACAAACAGTTCAAGACTTCAAACACAGTGCACGTAGTGTGATTTAAGATATTGGCCCAGCAAGTCAAGGCAACTGCCCTATTCATCAATTCTTTGCTTTGAAGATTTCCAGCATTTAGTAAACAGTTATACAACTCAGGGTTGTGAAAACAGCACATATGTTCTCCGAATTTCACATGCCCTTGTACATGCAGCAGCTATGCAACATTTGAAAATACATTTGACAAGAGATGATGGAAATTTTAAAGAATCGTGGCTATGATGTAGAAAGAGTCTGAGAAACCTAACAGCTTCACCATCAAATTTATATTCACGTGAAACAGATTGCTGACTGCAATTTGTCCTGACTGCACTGACTCATTTAGCACTTCAGCTAGTTATTGAACTTAGAGTTCATTTCAATGTCTCATTTTTCTTTCCCAATTGCAATTCGCTTGTACTGATATGTGCACCACCAAACTAAAAGCATGTCTCAAGTCTGACCATTCACTATCGGTGTATCTCCTTTGTGCACTGTGGTGTCTACAGCAGACTTCCTTGACAGCAATTTTTTAATGCATTTCACCAATTCCTTCTGCCAGTCATCCTCCTTGGAATTCCCTCACAGAACATGTTTGTGTGCCCACAGCAGAGCTGCAGTCAGCGTCCCTGCCTCCCTGACTCAGAAGATTAGATGCTGGAAAGAACACGTGGTCCACAGGACTGCTTGGCGCATCGATCTCCTTTGCCAGGAGCAATGAGATTGATAACTAAAGACCCTATATCCCACTGAAAGCAACATCTTTACAGCTGCTTTGTAAAGGACAAAGACAAGCAGATTCATCAGTGTCCCACCCATTCTGATCAAATTTCCTGTGGAAAACAAGGATACCTCAAGCATCTAAGTTCTCAAATCCCAGCCTTGCCGCCATGACATGAACCACATTTCTGCCACAGAAAATAGCACAGTCAACAAGTGAGATTCCAGTTAGCTTTCTTGAGCAGTCAATGATCTAACTTCTCATTGCAACAGTGATACAAAACCCAAATCCCACTGCCTGCCCCTTGCCCTCAGAGCAGTGGTGCTGCATGCAGGGGGTTATTTCCTTAGTAAGATGAGCAAAAAAAAAACCAGGTCTGGCAGATAGAGGCCTGTCATGTGTTCCTCCAGGAAGATGAATAAATGGATGACTTCAACACCGGCAAGAAATGCAATTTATTCCAAATAGCATCACTGAGGAGGTGTGAGGTCAACTCTCCTCCCTAGAGAGGACGGAGAGGGAGAGGAGCAATGCAGCTCTGCTTGCCACAGCTTTCCTCATCAGACATACATAACTCCCAGTCGGCATCCTGCAGTATCACTGTATTCTCAGCTAACCACAACTAATAAGACTTTATGAATAAAGAAGCCGTTTCTATTTAAGCCAGGCTCTATCACAACATCTATTTTATCCTGCTGAGTTTTTGATTTCACAGAATTCTTGAGACCATCAGGATTTTACGTTTAGAGAATCTGCATGTTGGGATTCTGTCATCTGGGCCCGTTGATTGAATCCTAGGGAATTATGCACATTTGAGCTCTGCTTGCCTAGGGCCAAATACACTAATTCCACTTCCAAATGTACATCTCCTGGTTGGCAGCTCAGCTTCTGCACTAGATTATCTCTACCTACAATTTAATTAAAAAGTAATCACCTTTCGTTTCACTCCTCTGGGACTGACTGCAGTGCAACACACAAGTATACACAAACCATTACTTACGTGATACACTTTGCTGGACAGAATGAGCACGGAAAAGGCTCGGAGGAGTTTTCCTGCCAAGCCTTTTTAACAAATGATCACGTTCGTTCACGCTGAGGGAAGGAAAAAAAAGTCAGTGAGTAACCAGATAATTTTAAGATAAATGTCAGATGTACTTAAAGTACTTGTCAGCTTTGGCTTTGTCAGTATTTGAGATGGTGGCAGCATGAAAAAAATAAACCTTTCCTTTAAACTGCACAATACCCATAATATTCTCTAATAACGGAAACTCTTCCTTTCTAAGGCCACTTTTTAGGGATTACATTTAATTCATCCATCCCTAATATCACAGCCATTGTCATTTCTGAATGTAAGACATCTACAGACTGTTACAAGCCATATCAAATGTCCAACATCAAGTGGTATGGAGCATCTCAAAGGAGATCTCTTTCTAGTATTACACAAAGGATGGCACCCTCCAACTGCCGTAGAGAGAAGGAGCAACACGTTGCAGCTTAGCACATGGCAAGAGATCTCTATCACACCTGCAAAAGTGCCTGAAATAACAAGGCAGCACCTCTGTTGAGTTCTAAAGATTATCATCTCCAATCCTGGAGAAAAAAACTTTCAATTCAAGAGTCCCCTTTGCTTTACACAGCTCATATTAGAAGACTGAACTTACCAACAGTAAAAACACAAGCTGAAGGCGAAAAATATGTATTTCAAGGAGTTGAAAGAAAAAACTAACTGGATTTAACATATACATGCATATCATTAGAGCCACTATCCACTCTTAAGTTTTACAGACATCAAGAACTGTATGTCAAGAATAGACTATGGCTAACATCCAGACATTTCAGAGCACTTATCTACGTAAGCAAGTGGCATAAAGTACAACAGAAGACAGCGTAGGTGTAGAAATCTTGTTGGACTGAGGTGTTCAGGAACTGTTGTATATCAGATGATTAAGAAATACATATTACAACCTACTTTAGTTGAAAGCTGTGGCTCTGGGCAGCCTGGTCTAATGGCTGGCAACCCTGCTGACAGTAGGGGGGTTCAAACTAGATGATCGTTATGGTCCTTTTCAACCCAGGCCATTCTATGATTCTATGTGATTCTACCAAAGTTCCTGTAAGATGGGGTTGCTTTTTTCCCTGTCTCATACTTGTTCCTAACACTGAGATGGCAACACTGCAGATGTCTATACTGCAGCTCCTTGCAGCGCCTTTGTTCCATTTATACCATGTTTATGCTGCCTGCTTCCATTTCCAGTCTTGCTTGCTCTTTCATGTCCTCATTCACAAGTAATTCCACTGGTTATGCCATAAATGTGGATACACATTTGAAAGGCAAACGCTGGTATCTTTCTTGGGTTAGATTACAAGTTCACATATATTTGGTATATGAAATGGAAATCCCAGCAAGCACAGCTGCTGCTGCCAACAAGCTCACAACAGCTTTAAACAAACAACTCCCTTTCACTGAAGCAATTTGCTAACTTCAAACAAGAAAGTAAGCAAAGAATCTCCGATACGTCTATAATGTGTAACCCAGCCATGCAGGCTTATATTGCACTTAATATTCCATTAGGTTAATATCCAGACGCACAGCCCGTTCAGCGAGTAACAAGATGCCCATGAAAGAAAGGGAGGAATCCTCCTTTTTTTCTTTTTTCTTTTCACTTTTTTTTCCCTGTGATCTGTGAGTCCAGCCAGCCAGGTTAAGAAACCCTTTGGACCTTTCCCATAAAATCTTTATGAACTGTCAACATTTTCAGATGATTGGTCTCTTTTCCTCCTTCACTGGTCAAAGCAGAATCATGCCTGCAACAGATACTCTAGGTAGCTTTTCCTGTCTGCAGCCAGTTTTATTTCCTTGGTAGCATTTTCCTTCAATAGGAGTTGGAAGCAAAACTAAAGACACCAACTGAGAGCATCAAAAAGCCTGTAAGAGCTCACTTGGATCATGAGATCTGCATGCATTCAAAGACAGAATTACAGTTTTCCACTAAAAACAGAGATGCAGTATGGAAACTTCTGAAGAGCTTGGAAGATCCAACTTAGAAAAAAGACTGTCTGACTGAAAGAAAACCAAGTATACAAAGAAAAACCCAAATGCTGTAGGCATGCAGCAGAATAGAAAGCATACTACAAAGAGTCATCACAGAAGAGGATGGCTGGTATACAGTGAGACGTGACATTTTCCGAACTTAAGCTAAAGAGGTTGACGGCCTCCAGAAACACCACTGCTGGTGTGTGTACTACCCAGCAATGCGGGGCTCAGCAGAGGACTGCCAGCTCACTCGGGAGCACACAGACCGTATGTGCAGCAAACAATCTGAACCTAGTGGTGGTCTGTGACTGAGAGAAGAGGGACACCTGCCCATCTTCTCCATACCCATCCCAGCAAGAGACCAGAGGCCACTTCTGGATGGACTGCTTAAAAGTGATGGCAGGTAAGTTTATGGATTTTGATACATTAGTTAAACACAGTCCTGGGAACGGCAAAAAACATGCAGCCATTGTGCTTTCTGCTTTGATAAAGGAATTTGAGAATATGTTTCAAGACTGCCAAAAAAAATCATCCGTTTTTTGGTTTATTTGCTACTCTATTTTCAGTTAACATAAATACACTACCTGTGAATTTTCAACTGGAATGTAAAGAGAGTTGCAATCCAAAACCTGATCATCTCTTTACCAAACTTTTATAAGTCTTCTTATCAGAGAGATATTTTCCTCACATCACAGTCACAATTTACTTGTGTCATCGCTTTTTGGCATTGCATACACTTGGGAACAACTACATTGAAGGATGAAGTACAGGAAGAGTAAAATTTCATTCAAAATCTCTGACAAACACCTCGAGAACTTACTACAAATTGCAACTACTGCCATTGAATCCGACTGATGAGTTAGTTTCACAAAAACAAAATCACATATCCCAGCAGTTTTATGGTTTTATTGCTCTCTTTTTTATGTTTTAATAAAAAAAATAACAATTAAGTTTTGTTACTTTATACACATTAACTGTAGTATATATTTAAAGAGGGCTTCGCTGAAAGTAATGCCTCCTATGTTATTCTGTTGGCCCATAATGTCAGAGGTGGATGTTGGTGGCATGGCAGAAGAGGCTGAACCTTCCCACCAATATCCCATTACATGTTGTTGCTATGTGACAGATGGCAGCAGAGGGGCAGTTTGACAGAATGGCATCTGATATGGAAGTGCATGTGAGTCACTGAGTTCCTCTTCACAGAAAAAATGGCACCCAGTGACATTCATCAACACTTGCTGAACTTTGATGGAGGCAGAAAAGTGGATGCGAGCACAGCGAGGTGGCGGGTGGTGCGTTTCAGTGGTGACAACAGTGACAGTGGGTCAGCTCTGCTGCAGACTTTTAAGAGCATGCCACTTAGGCTCTTGATCATTCCTGGTAAAAATGAATAGTTTGTGGTGGTGACGATGTGGAAAAATAATGTTTCCTAGTTGAAAATTTGCACAATCAAATGGTCTTATTGTGTTTTTCTATCCATTCCATGGAAATAAATAGGAAGCACTATTTTTGGAGTGACCTACATATATATGGCCCAAGACAATCCTGGCCCTCTTCACTCACTGCAGCCCAGGCAAGCCAAAAGGTTGAACAACTATGCTTTAAGTGCAAGTCATGACTAAATATACTGCATGTTGAGACCTATCAAGCAGTATAAAATGAATTCCTAACATCAGAAGTAAATGCAATACAACTCTTCTGAAATTGATGAGTATGATTTATTAAAAGGTATTAGATCTTCCAATAGAAAGCGTGAAAGGAAAGTGAAGTTGAATGGACTACTTAACTAGACCAAGGTCTGCACTGATACCAACTCAGTCCTTGCTTTCAGGTTTTCTTCTGCTACTAGCAGATAACGAAAAATAAAGACTTCTCATTGGTCTCCCCTCACTACAGTGCAAAACTAGTGATGGCCTCAGACTCCCAGACATATTAGTCCTTACCCACAAATGTACTGCTTGTAAATCAATCCTGAGTATTAGTTGTGATGATCGTAAGTGTTAAATCTACTTTCCAGACACAGAGAGCCAGCAAAGAAACCCTCCCACCAGAGTCTAAGGATGGCATCTTCAGATGCATCACAGTAAAAGGGTAAAAAAGAGAACGTGAGGTCATATGGTGAATACTGGATATGCTTGTGTTTATACTCAGGACCTAAAAAAGGTGTCAGAGTGAAAGAAATCACAAACCCAGACATCCTGATGGGAGTCAATGACCCGGAAAGTGACAGTGAAATATGCTTTACTTGGTTGGTTAGTGACCTCAGGAGGGTAAGGGAGAAGCTTCATCTATCTGTAATTACACGAAGGACAGCACACAGACAGAATGCTTTGAACTAAACAAATCAATAGTTGCTCAGAACAAAAACAAGCAAAAAAAAAAAAAAAAAAAAGCCCAATTCAGAGGGTTACTTTGAAAAAACAACTGAAAAAAGTAATTATTCATGTCATAGAAAACTAGACTCAGTTGCTAACAACAATAAAAAATACCATGCACAAGAAATACCTTTGCAATGGCTTCCTAAATGGGATGAGATTACTTCAGTCTGCCTGAAAGTCTATGCTAACAACATTTCACAGATTCATTAACCATATGACAAAATAAAAGATAAACGAAAAACATCATTTAATTTTTCCATTCCATGAACTCTTAAAATAACTCTTCCATTTTTGCATCTGAACTGCTCAAAGATGTAAAAAGAGATCTTCATTTTGTTTCTGTGTGTTCCCTTCTTGCTCTTCACAAGAGCAAACAGCTCCTAAATCCAGGCAGCAAACATCTGGCTTTACACATTCAAATGAGGAACACCAAAACAAACAGAATAATTCAAAGCTGACCACAACGTCCTGCTGGCTCATTTGCTCAAGTAATTAAAAAAAGATGAGCTTCACCACCAATTAACCTACTGAGGACTAATTAGCGTTAATGAGGATTTGCGGTCCTTGGTATAGCTTGACCCAGAATGTCCTCCCCGGTTCACTAATTGGCTGGTGGCAAAGCAGGGCTCACAAAAAAGGGAAGGTTAAAGTGGATGCAGGTGTCTCTTAAAATTGGATCT